ATACTGACAAACTACAAGCTCTTTCCATTCTCAGAGCACAGCACATCTAAGAGACAATTAAAGGTTTTCACTGATGTGCACACACATAAGATAAGTCAATGGGAAAAAGACCTGTCTTTAAAGATGAGGATATTTCTCTGAAGACATTCTCATTTTCCTGTTATTAGCTGATTTTAAATGAGGATTTGAAAGCCCTCATTACTTTATAAACTGTTTTAAGTAGAGGTAAAGTGTAGCTTAGCAATTTAGCTTTCTTTGTCTTCCCAATTTGTACAAACCATGGATGAGAAATCAATTTAGAATTTAACTTTTCCAGATATTAACTAGTTTAAAAAAAAATCTTGTCTTTGGTAAATACTTAAATATAAAAGTCAAAATCAAAATCTATTAAAAGAAATAACTGTATGGGTAAGATTGGAAAAATGTTGATTTTATACTATATTTAGACCAAGAAGTTCGGATCAAAGATTCCACAGAGTGAAAAGACAAATCATAAAATAGAAGATATATGCAACACATACAACCAGATAGTATCCATAATGCATACTTCATGAGCCAACAATGAATGGTTACTTAAAAATGAGCAAGATGCTAGTCAGCCAGCCTAGCCAAAATGGCATATTCCAGGGTCAGTGAAAGACCCAGCAGGACATCCAATGTCCTCCTGTGGCTTCCTCACACAGGTGAGTATATGAGTCCACACATCCACGAATTCACATGTACACACACACAAAAATAAAAATATTTTTAAATGAGCAAAGGAAATGAATAGGTACCACACATTATATATATATATATATATATATATATATATATATATATATATATATATATATATATTTGTGTGTGTGTGTCTATATATATATATATATATAGACACATATATGTGTGTGTGTGTGTGTATATACATATATGAGAGAGAGAAAGTATTCAAGACACCACATCAGTAAGGTGTCAATCTAACTGGTCACCAGAAAAAAATGCAAATAAAAACAACTGTTGAGTTGATGAAAATGAAATCTAACTATGCCAAGTACTGATAAAATTGTACAGCAGTGGGATCACCAAATACTGCAGGTGAGAATACAGAACAACATGACTTGTTTTCACAAAGTTTGGTATGACAAAGGAATCAGATACATAATACAATCAATGGCAACATACTTCTACACCCACCAGAATGCATGTCTAAGAAAAATCACAGCAGCACTTGCAATAGCTACAATTGGCATGTGACTTCAACACTGCACCTTTACTGTGAGTAACAGAATGGACAAGGCTGGGTGTAAGAGCTCAGTAGTGGAATGCTTGTTGTGCCCTAGATTTGATCCCCAGCACCAGTAATAACAACCACAACAACAAAGCTGTGGTACAATTCTATGAATACAACAGTGATGAAAACAAGTGACTTCAGTGACATACAACAAGAAGGGTCCTTATAAACATAACTGAGCCAAAACATACCAAAACTACACAAAGAATAATTCTCCTTCTATAAAATTGAGAAATGGGTACAATTAAATTATTTTTTCAGGGAGTCATACACATGTAATAAAGCAATGAACACAAAGGAATGACTATCATAAAAGGATAGTAGTCACCTCTAAACAAAGGGAGGGAGGGGGTTCTGGGGCATGAACAAGGCCATCTCTAACATTTACAAGCCTAGCAAAGCAAAGGTACAAAGGAGATCTACAGACCATATATCTAAAAATTTAGGTCTTAAAGTCAGATAGCTGGGTGTGCTAGTGCATGTCAGTAATCCTAGCACTTGGGAGGTAGGTGCAGGACAATCATGAATTCAAAGTCATCTTCAGCTACACAGTGAATTTGAGGCCAGCCTAGGATACAAAAAACCCATTTTAAAACAAAGCAAAAAGTTCTAAATCAAGCTTATAACTATTAGATACCCTTTACTGTCTACCATGATAAATACACCTTTAAAACTAACTGGAAAAGCAGACTCACAGTGTGCATTTTTGGACTGCTTAGAGCTTGATGCAGAAAAGTAGTGGGAGAGGAAACACTGACTGCCAACTGCTCCTTCCACATCCCACAAGGCAAGAGCCCTTTCCTATAAACATGACGTTACCTCACCCCAAGTCCAGCTGTACCTGTTAACTGTCCCATACCCCACTCCCCATGTAGGAGCACCCTCACCCTAAGGCCTTGGGGTGAACACACTAGCAGCATAGTCCACCCTCAGGAAGACAAAACCTACAAAACAGGCCCTGGAAACAAGCTCCATTTGGTAAGCCATTACCCTGGGCCATTTGGGTAAGCAATTCTAAGATCTTGGGTTCTCACAAAACATTCTAAGGTGAAAGGGTTCAAGCATCAAGTATCATGCTTTATAGGCCCAGCCAACTTTGTGCCCTATGAAAAGAGGCATTGTGAAAGGAGGGCCAATGTGGAACTCCTAAGACATAGCTTAGGACGAGGCCAGAGATCTCTGTTGCCTGGACTAGAATTGGCATAAAACCACACAACATTCTTAATCTGAATAACAGTCATGTAGTCATTTGTGTTATATTATTTGTTAACCCACACTTGTAAGTTTTATGCATTTTTATATAAATAATGGGGTAGCTATCATATGCTTGCTGATAAGATACACTAAGGGCACAAATCACATACACACATCCTGGATATAACCTTGAAGACACAGTCAAACAGATACAAATCCAGAGATGAAAGAAAATATCTACATTTTTTAACATATGTCATTAGAAGGAAAGAATGTAACTATGACACTATTCTAGAATTAAAGAAACTAAACAGACATAAAAACTGTTGAGTTCTATGACCCTGTATTAGATTGTGGACCAAAACATTCTTGAGAAAATTAATTCAATTTAAATATGACAACTGACATTGCATCAGTGTTATTTCAACAACTGGACTAGGATTATAAAAGAAAATGTCCTTATTCTTATAATTTCTACCCTTGAAATATTTAGGAGTAAAGGGCCACATCTGAAAAAAAGATTGCATATGTAGTGACAAAGTAAATGTAACATGATGGTAATTAATGGGCTCTAAAAAAAAAGGGCACATGCAGCAAACTGCTCTTGTAACTTCAAAATAGTTTCAAATAATGGGTTCACCTTCCATGTGCTGAGATTACAAGCACACACCCCACCATGCCCAGCTATATAACCTTTAAATGCTGGAATATTTTGATATGTGGTCTACAGGTCTCTTTTGTAACCCTGAGAGGCTCTGTACCCCAGACAGCTAGAATAGCAAGCAGGATAAAGGCTCCACTGCTTATTCTGCCATCTCACTTTATAGCTTTCATTTTTTTGTTCATCTTTCAAAAAATAAATTTTAACTTTGGGGAAAATCCCAGAACAGTACAGAGGGGAAATTAGGTAACTACAGAAATAATAAAATGTTCATCCTTGAATGTATCTATCAGATCACAGCTGTCATCAAATAGGTATGGAATGAGGTCCACCCATGGAGAAGTGGCTGCATGCACATCTGATTACTTGCTCCGAAGTCCAGTACTCTCCCTGCACAATAAGACATGGCTTAACATGGACCTTAACTTTCTACTTCCAGAACAACTATAAATTTAAAATATACTTCACATGGGGGGAATCTTATTTTAACAAATACTAGTGATGTTGTGCAAAGCCCTGAAGGCAACATGGAGAGATGCATGCAACACAAGTACTGCCCTTAAGAAGGCAACTTAGCAGTATAAAGTAGAATTGAAACAAGAATCCCAGCTATCACACACAGTAGCTACATGGCCTTGGTGAGCTACTTTACAGCTAAGATCCTAGTTTCTCATTGGTATTATAGGGATGCCATTCAACTGTCTTTAAAGATTTCATAGTAAATGTTGACAATATAGATGCTCAGCTGATATCATATGCATAACAGAATAAAGGACATTTGATCAAAAGTCACCCTGCATATAATTATAATATTAGAATAAAAATAAAGCAATAGAAAACAGTACCCCAGCACTCAGGAGGCAGAGCCAGGAGGATCTCTGTGAGTTCGAGGCCAGCCTGGTCTACAGAGTGAGATCCAGGACAGGCACCAAAACTACACAGAGAAACCCTGTCTCAAAAAAAACAAACAAAAAAAAAAACCCAGTACCAAAGGCATAAAGCCAGTTAAGGGCATAACTTACTACTTCAAGTTTCTAATTCAAGTAAATTCATTCCCTCTAAACACCAAATAATATATGCAAATGTTTAGGTGTGAGGACCAAGAGCTAACATTTGGCAAAAGGCACCAAGAAAAAGGGTACAAGGTTATTTTCTCATTAAGCAAAAAGGATTTTAGGTCAAGAAGTGTTCTACATAAGCCAGTCGGTGGCACAGGACTTTAATCCCAGCACTCGGGAGGCAGAGGCAGGCGGATCTCTGTGAGTTCGAGGCCAGCCTGGTCTACAGAGCAAATTCCAGAACTACACAAAGAAACCCTGTCTCCAAAAAAAAAAAAAATTAGAAGAAGAGATATACACAGCTTGTACAAGACGTCCTAACCTCATCTAAGATCTCACTGTTCAGGATATTTATGAAATCAAACTAAAAGATAAGGAAAAAGGAGGAGTTTCCTTTAATTAGTCTCCAACCTTCTTTTAGCAATAGTTTTGCTAAAAATTCAGTCTATTTCAAGCAGTTTAGTGGCAAAGAATTCTCTTTCTATTAATTTGAGTCCTAGAGTCTATTTCCAAGCCTTGCCTGTTAGCAAGGCCTAAATAGTTGACTTCCAGGAATCTATGATATACAGACCAACACCCAATGATAAAAATAAATAAAGCCCTATTTCAAGCCTGCTAAGGCAGTGGATTCCAATCAAAGTATTCACTATATTTTTATTCTCCAATCTTTCTAGGATGATTTGGGCATAAAAAAAAAATGAGGAAAGGCACTTAAAAGAACTTGAAGACATCACATTATTTATCTATTTTCTTCTGTGTACAGATATTCCATACAATAAAGAAACATCATTATCTAAGATAGATAAGTGGGTACCTGAAAGAGTGCCACCTGTCCTAGGATAGGCCACTTCCACATACACTTCAAATGTAGTCTCTGGGTTCTGCCTACAAAAAAAAAAAAAAAAAAAAAAAAAACATAATTACTGATGAGGATTGAGGCAACATTATGCAAAAGCATGGGATGCAGTGTATAGTAGATCTCATTTAAAGTCAGTAGCTCCACAACTAACTAGCTGTGAAAGTTTGGGCAGGCTATTTAAATCCTGAGCCATAACCTTCAAAGCATACAAGATAAAAACAGCAATCCCCAAGATGTGCAACTTAAAAAAAAATACACAAAAGTGATCTGGACACAATGTCTAGATATAGTAAGTTAACCACGACTATGAACTGTCATGTATCATGTTTCTGACTTCCACAGCTGCATCTCCAAAGCTGCATATTTTTGAGGGAATTTCAGCTCAAAGCACCAACAGCATAAAGTAGCACACTCTGCTCCATTGTTAGATAAAACACACATATGACAAAAATGACTCCTTACAGCTTTTGAATAGCAGACAAGAGAAACAATCACCTCACTAGAATACTGTGAACATGGGAAGGTAATCTAAATTTAAGACAGTGTGCCTACACTGGCAATACCATATGTATGAATGTTCACTATTATATTCCTTTACCTTTTTAATGTCATGAGCATTCATAATAAATTCATGAAAGATCACAGTACTAACAGAATGTTTATAGTTGTTACTTCTGAGTTATAAAAACATGTGATTGGCCGGGCGGTGGTGGCGCACGCCTTTAATCCCAGCACTCGGGAGGCAGAGCCAGGCGGATCTCTGTGATTTCGAGGCCAGCCTGGGCTACCAAGTGAGTCCCAGGAAAGGCGCAAAGCTACACAGAGAAACCCTGTCTCGAAAAACCAAAAAAAAAAAAAAAAAAAAAAAAAAAAAAAAAAAAAAAAAAAAAAAACATGTGATTATATTATCTCTTCCTGCTATAATGAAAAGGTAACTACTTTAAGACTGGATAAAAATCATTTAGCAAGCCAGACACAGTGGTGCACGCCTTTAATCCAGTATTTGGAAGGCAGAGGCAGGTGGAGCTCTGTGAGTTTGAGGCCAACCTGATCTACATACCAAGTTCTAGGCCAGCCAGGGCTACAGAGACCCTGCATCCAAAAAGAATTAAAAAAAAATTATTTAGCAAATAATATTATACTTTCAAATATCTAACTAAGTTATATTTTAAACCTGACAACTGGGCTGTTAAATAATATCTAAGGGTCTAAATTTAAATCAAAAAAATACTTCGAATGTTTCCAGGAAAATCTATATCTTCAAATGTCATTTATATCTTGTGATCCTTACTGCGGCACTGTAAGGTATGGGAGTGTTACTCTAACTGAGCAAGTGAGGGACCTGAGGAAAGACAGTCTGAAGAACTTGACTGTTTCCCTTAGCTGATAGGAAACACAGGCAACCCCAGAATTCATGTCATCCTTTCTCTAATTCCACATTTCACTAACTAGATGATGACCTTTGATCTCCATACTTAACACATCTTCAGCTCACTGCATTCTGAGATTGTAAATGGCAGCAACTTTTTTCTTAGTAACACATAAAATAACATTCATCCTATAAATACAAGCATCTTAAGAGTTGGGAAAATAAGGTAATGCTTGCTCTAATTCCTTAGCAGTAGAAAGAAAATGTTATATTTCTGATTTGTAAAAGATCAGTTTTTTTGCTGTAGAGAAACATAGGCTTTAGCTTTAAATAAGTGCCTTAAGTAGAGAGCTGACTATTCTAAAATTCAAGGTATTTAAATGTACTTAGTTAAATATAGTTACTGAAAAAGAAGACACTAAATCAGAGCATCTTACTTTTTTTTAAAAAAAAAAAGCAAACTTAAGTTTTAAGGGCTTAAAATAAAAAAAAAAATTTAAAAAGCTTGCATTCTTTTTCCCACCAAGAGGGTAGAACATGACCTTCAAAGTTGACACCAAATGTGTGGGAAATACCACGTGGAAATATCCCTTCCAGTCAGAGACCTAGAGGTAGATCATCTGACAAAAAGAGAACTTCTATTTCACAAATAATAGATGGTATAGTGTAAAAAGCATTAGGAAGATTTCCTCCAAAAATCCAAAAACACCTTTCTTTTGCAAATGTCTAGATTTCATCTCAGAATGTTATTTCTATGGATTAAAACAGATTTCAAAATGTGTTCGACACATAACTGGGAGCAGTAGCACACCTCTTTAATCAGGCGGATATCTGTGAGTTCACTCCAGCTTGGTCTACAAAATGAGTTCTAGGGCAGCCTACATGGAGAGTTACAGTTCCAGGGCTACACAGAGAATCTGACTCAAAAAAAGAAAGTAAAATGTGTTCTACACAACCCTGGACCCCTGTGGAGGCTCTTCATCAGAGCTCCCACACATTATTTTACTCAATTTCCACTTCTTCCACTTTTTTTTTACATGTTCTTAAAACTGAAATGATGAACATGAGCATGTCAAAGTACTACATTCAAATTCTAAAACAATTATACACCCATGCTGTAATCTGTGTCACAGAGCATTTGTAAAGGCCCATCTAAGGAAAAGAATGACCCAACTGGCTATTCTTGTTGCTTCTGGTCCTTCTTTCTTCCTGCAGCCTACTTCAAGCAGGCATCCTGAACAACTTGCCATTGTCACCAATGACCTCCAAGTACACAGTTCTCAGTGACTGCTTTATTTTATCCTCATAGCAGCTTTTGGAAGCGCTGATCAGTTTGCCCTGCCCCTTCAAACGCATTCTTCCTTTCCCTCCCAGGAGCTCACTCTTCTGGCTCTCTGCTTTCCTTACTGGTGCTTCTTTGCTAAACCCTCACGGAAGAGCTCCTGCTCCTGAACTGGTCAAGACTCTGCTGTCTACACTCTTTACCTAGATGATCTCATTCAGTCTCGTGGTTTTAATTACTGAGTAAATGCTGGCAAGCCCCTACAGTCTATCTTCAACCTGACTTCTTCCCTGATTCCAGATTTTTAAGCCTACTCAACACTTATGCTTAGGCATCTCAAACACATTTTAATTTAACATATGTTTTTATTTCCCAAACTTGTACCTCCTGAATGCTAACAGTTACTCAAACCAACAAAACTTACTGTTTCTGACCTCTTTATTTGTCACTACCAACCAGTCAGCAAGCTCTGTTGATTCCACTATCAGAATGTATCCAAAGCAAAGAGGAGATGGGAATTTAACATTTAACTCAGAGGTACCATGCCCAAGTGTTTTGCTCCCAGCACACACAAAATTAAATAAAATTAAATAAAAATCCAGAGTTGTGTACTTCTTGGTACCCTCAGTTAATGCATTACTCTCCTGATGTCTCCCTGCTCCACTCTTTCCTCCGTGTGCTTATACCTCAATTTTGCATGCAAGAGTCCATTTATTGTAAAATTCAGCTGTGTCAGCCCTCCATGCAAAACTTCTCCAAAACATCCCACAAATTCAAAGTCCAACTTCAAGTTCTAGTGCTAGATGGGTGCAGAACAATACAGATGTATCTAATGCCATTAATCTGAGCACTTTAAAATGGTTAAAATGGAAGCTTTGTTATATGTATCATGCCATAATTTTTTTAATGGAGTTAAAAAGAAGGGGGGGGGGGGTTGCGCAAAAGCCTACATGACCTGGCCTCTACCTACCTGTCCAATTTCACTTCAGATCTCTCTCCTGGCTCACTAGACCCAGGTACACTGACCTTCTTTCTGCCGCTCAGACACATGAGCTCACCCCTATGTTAGGACTCTTCACACAGAATTTCACATAGTGTTTTTTCCTGTCACCCAAAACTCTGATTATACTTGGCCTCAGAAAGATCAACTCCATAACACTTTCCAGCACCTAATTTATTTCTCCACATTATACCAGTCCCAATACTAGTTATGGTTATCTTTTCTCTTCCATACATAAGCTGTTGAAGAATAGGGATTTTTGTCTCTCATGTCAGGTAGCGTTTCTCATATACATAACCAAGTAAATATTAGTAAGGGACAAAGGAAGTGGAGACTAGTTTTCCAGGAGTCTAAAAGAGTACAATAAATGACAGGTATGATAATCCAGTTTCACATGTTTCAACCTTTAGTACGGATTACAATTAATTGAGGACTAATTAAAAGTCAGATTTCTGTCCCCCCCAGAGTCTCTGAGGTAGAATTCCAGATTTCTCTTCCTAACAAATAACCAGCTCACAGTGGTTCTACTCGACTTGTGACCACATTTTGGAACCACTTATCTAGTTAAATGAAATTCTCCCAATAATTTAGTGTATACACTAAAATGTACATAAAGTGAACAGTATACATCTCAGTATCTTTCAATGGTATTCCTGTAATGAAAGACATGTTTCAAAGAAAAAGGCCATTTGTAGAAACAAGTATTCCTACCTCTCTACTCTCACTATCTGCATCACTCTAATGAGTAATAAGCCCCGAAGATTCTCACTCAGTTCAGACAGTAGGCAGAGTTCTATTGCATGGAGCTGAAGATTATAACTGTCTATCTGCCTGCCTAATTGTCTGCCTGCCTCTCTCTCTCTCTCTCTCTCTCTCTCTCTCTCTCTCTCTCTCTCTCTCTCTCCCCGTGTGTGTGTCTGTCTGTCTGTCTCTCAAAAAAAAAAAAAAAAAAAGAAAGAAAAGGAGAAAGAAGAAAAGCAGAAGCTGACTAAAATGCTAAGAACAAACTGGTCTATAATTATAAGCTCTAGTCATGCTTATCCATGATGGTTTACATGTTGCCTTATGGAAGAAATGGTGACTAATGTTGTGACAAGTTATATAACATAACAAATATACATAAGTTATTTTAAGGGCCAGTGAAGCCAATGCAGATGGAGGCATTTTTTTTTATTTCTCTGCAAATCAAAAAATAAATTAGAAAGTGCCTCCTCTAAATGCAAATTGCCAAGCATTCTTTTCTTAATATTCTCATTAAGCCTGTAAACAATAAAGGCGGTAGCAACTTACACAGGATCTCTGAGAGCACCTTGAGACCACTTATTCCTCCAACACTCTTCAAGACACTCAGTATTTTTAACTACTTGGCTAAAGA